AACTTTGCTGAATTTGTTAGTTCCAGTGGGTTTGTGTGTTTGTGTTGGGGGGTGGGGTTAGAGATCTTTAGGATGTTCCAAGTATAAGATCAAGTCATAATTTTATTTCTTCCTTTCCAATTTGAATGGCTTTTACCTCTTTTCCTTGCCTGATTGCCTTGGCTGGGACTTCCAGTACTTCTAGGACTTCTAGTTCTAGTACTTCTAATATTAGGTTTGGACTTCTAGTACTAGAAGTGGTGAAAGTACATATCCTTGTCATGTTTCTGATTTTAGGAGAAAAGCTTTCAGTCTTTCACCATAGATATGATGTTAGCTGTGGGCTTTTCACATTTTGCCTTTTTGTGTTGAGGTCGTTTCTTTCTATTTCTAGTTTGTTTGGTGTGTTTATTATGAAATAATTTTGAATTTTGTAACATGATTATTTGTGCATCCATTTATGATCATGCTGGGTGGGGTGGCTCATGCCTATAATCCCAGCACTTTGGGAGACTGAGGTGGGAGGATCACTTGAGGCCAGAAGTTCAAGACCAGCCTGAGCAACATAGTAAAAAAAAATAAAAAAGATCAAAAGGCTTTTTCCCTTCATCCTGTTAATGTTGGTGTATAACATTGATTTTCATATGTTGAATGACCTTTGCTTCTTAGGAATAAATTGCACTTTGTCATAGTGTATTATCCTTTTAATATGCTGCTGCATTTGGTTTGGCAGTATTTTGTTGAGGAATTGTGCATCAGCGTTCGTAAGAAGTATTGGTTGGTAGCTTTCTTACGGTGTCTTTGTATGGTTTTGGTATTAGGATAATGCTGGCCTCATATAATGACGTTGGAAATGTTTCCTCTTTGTTAATTTTTTTGGTGTTTATTGTTTAAATGTTTGGTAGAATGCTCCAGTGAAGCCATGAAGTCTGGGAATTTTTTTTTTTTTTTTTTGCCAGGAGAGTTTATATTATTGATTCAGTCTCCTTACTAGATATGGGTTAATTCAGATTTTGTTTCTTCATGATGCAGTCTTGGTAGGTTTTGTGTTTTTGGACTTTGTTAATTTCATTTAGGTCATCCAATATTTGGGTACCCAGTTTTTCATAGAACTCTCTTATTTATATGTGTGTGCATATATGCATATATATATGTGCACGTGTATATGTATACACACATATATATACACATATATACATACATACATATACACATACACAACACACACACACACACACACACACACACACACGTATATAGAGATATAATTTTTTTTTTTTTGAGACAAGGTCTTGCTCTGTTGCCCAGGCTGGAGTGCAGTGGCACAAACGTGGCTCACTGCACCCTTGACCTCTTAGACTAAGACGATCCTCCCATCTCAGCCGCTAGAGTAGCTGCAACTACAGGTGCATGCCACCATGCCTGGCTAATTTTTTGTATTTTTGTAGAGACAGGGTTTCACCATGTTGCCCGGGCTGGTCTCAAACTCTTGTATTCAAGGGATTTACCCACACTGGTTTCCCAAACTGCTGGGATTACAGTGGCTCATGCCTGTATACTTTTTATTTTTGAAGAATCAGTAGTAATGTTCGTACTTTGATTTCTGATTATAGTAATTTGTCTTTTTTTTTCTTAATCTAGTTAAAGATCTTAAATTTTGTTCATGTTTTCCATGAACTTTTGGTTTTGTTTTTCTTTTTTTTTTTGGTATTATCTATTTTATTTATCTCCACTCTGATCTTTATTTCCTTTGTTCTGCTAGCTTTGGGTTTAATTCTTCTTTTACTAGTTCCTTAAGTTTTAAAGCTAGGTTGTTGTTTGAAATCCTTTTTTCTTTTTAAATGTGTTTATAGCTCTAAAATTTTTTCTTTCGTAAGGCTTTTGATGCACTTTGTAAGTTTTGGTGTATTAATTTTTATTCACATCTAAACGTTTTCTAATTTCCTTTGTGATTTCTTTCTGTATTTTAGTTTTCACAATTTGTGCATTTTTCAGTTTTCTTCTACCATTGATTTCTAACTCCATCCTGTTACAGTTGGAGAAGATACATTGTACAATACCTATCTTTTACATCTATTGAGATTTGATTTGTGCTCACATACAAATGGGACATTTTGGAAAAACATATCAAGTGAACTTGAGAAGAATGTGAATTCTATTGTTGAACAGAGTATTCTGTTTATATCTTTTAGATCTACTTGGTTTATTGTGTTGTTCTTTTTTCATTTTCTTTTGTGTATATTGTCTTGCTTTTTTTTGTGGTTATGATGGGGATTACATTTAACATTCTAAAATTATAACATTCTAATTTGAATTTAGACCAGCTTAACTTCAATAACAAATAAAAATTCTGTTCTTATACAGCTCTATCTCAACCCTCTTTTACAAAATTGTATCTTTTCCCATTGTTTGTCCCAAAACAGACTGATAGTGTTTTAATACTTTAGTTTCTAAAATCATGTAGTAAATAAGCTAGACATGGTGGCTCACACCTGTAATTATAACACTTTGGGAGGCTGAGGTGGGCAAATCACCTGAGCTCAGGAGTTTGAGACCAGTCTGGCCAACATGGTAAAACCCTGTCTCTACTAAAAATACAAAAAGTTAGCCAGCCGTTGTGATGCGTGCCTGTAATCCCAGCTACTTGGGAGGCCAAGGCAAGAGAATCGCTTGAGCCTGGGAGGCAGAGGTTGTAGTGAGCCCAGATTGTGCCACTGCACACTAGCTTGGGCGACAGAGGGAGACTCTGTCTCAAAAAAAAAAAATAAATAAAATCAAAACAAAAAGCATAGTTAGAAACCAAAATTACAATAAGACTATCTTTTACAGTTGTCCATGTATTTATCTTTATCAGAGATCATTGTTTATTTACAGCTTTGAGTTCTGTCTAAGGTTCTTTCATTTTAACTGGAAGGATTTCCTTTAGCATTTATTGCAGGGTAGGTCCAGTAGAAAAGAACTATCTCAGTTTTTGTTTATCTGAGAGTATTTCAATTTGCCCCTCATTTTTGAAGGACCATTTGGCCACAGCCAGGGTTCTTGGTTGATGCTTTTGTTGTTTCAGCACTTTGAATATATCAACCCACTGTTTCTGGCTTCCAAAGTTTCTGATGAGAAATCTGCTTATAATTTTATTGGGGATCCCTAGTAGGTGATAATCTGCTTTTCAAGATGCTCTCTTTGTCTTTGGTCTTTGACAATTTGGTTGTAATGTGCCTTGGTATGGATCTCCCAGTTTTCCTACTTGGAGTTCCTTGAGCTTCTTGGGTGTTTATGTCTTGGGTGTTCATATCTTTCATCAAAGTTGGCAAGTTTTCAGTTACTATTTCTTCAAGTTAACCATCTTCTCCTTCTCTCTTTCTTTTCCTTCTGGGATTGTACAGTGTGTGTATTTGCAAATCTATGCAAGGGCCCCATGAGACCAAAAGTTTCTTAGAGATAGTTTTCTTTCCCCACCTCTTTCGAATACTTTATTTCTTTTTCTCTGCCTTCTCCCTGTTTTCTCCCCCAATCTTTTCTTAGTCTCATGCTCTGCTATAATCTGGGACAATATTGACTGCATGCATTTGCTTTTGAGATAGAGGGAGTAATGGACTTAGTTATGGATTAGCTTTACTCAAAGAGAATTAGCCCTTTAAATTCCCAGTTTATTGTGGGGAGTGTCTCCTATAAAACTGTCTACTCTTAATAGGCTCTGGGCTTGATGTATCTCTCTCCTTGATGCCATTTAGTCAAATGCAAGTGTGCTAGTGTTGGCAAATGTTCACAGTGCAATAATCCACAGTTTACCCAAGAATTTAGCTTAGTACTCGTAAAGTTTTGAGTGCTTTTAAGGTGGTATTTTAAATATTTTACCCAACATTTTTAGGAATATTCCATTGATAATTACTCTGTATAACTTAGTCTGCCATTATCAGAAAACTTTACTCAGTAACTTTGTCAGTGTTATGTTCCAGTTTGTAATTTCTCTTATCAGCTGGATCTAATTGGCTGTTAAAATTTATATATCAAGTTTTAAAATTTTGATTATTTTATTTATTGATGGATTGAAGCTCTATTTATTCTTCAATTCAGCCTGGTCAGTTTATCATCTTGCTGCTTAATCCTATTTTTGATATATTTCTTTTATTTCTCTGAGCATAAACATATGTTATATTCTTATCTGATTATTCCAGTATCTGAGATTTTTGTGGTTCAGATTATGCTTTCTGATATTTGGCTGGCTTTTATTCTTGGTAGTTTATCTCTTATTTGTTTTGTGAATTTTTCTTTTAAAACTATGAGCACATGTTGATTGAAACATAGGGTTCTTTGAGGTCTGGATAAGTTAAGGCCAGTTTGTTTTTCTAGGGAGTATTTGCATTTGTGTTTGGAGGCCCTTTGAAGCACTGGTACACTGAGATCACTTTTTTACCCTGGGGTCTCACAGGTAATAAGAATTCTACTCGAAGCCTATCTAAATGCCCTCATTAGTCATGAAATTTCTAGGGAGATGTTTCCTCTTTACATCTAGAACCAAAGCTGAGACTTGCAAGTTTTCTGGTTTAAAAAATGTTTTATTTACTTTTTCTTATGTTTTGGTGCCTGGTGACTTTTTTTCTCATTCTACTATTCACTGGGCATATCAACCTTTGAGACTCTCTCCTTTCTTTGTGGATAATCTCCAGTGTGTTTTCTCGTACTGCGTTGTGCCCAAGTTTCGTCTCTTACCTCCTATGCGCAGAGACTTTTAAAACCACAGTTGGAGGAGGCATGCATCAACAGATGCTGAGAGGGTAGTGTCTACCTTCAGGACTCCTTTGTTTCTCTGGGTTTGACCTTTTTCTTAATTTTAAAAACTTAGTTTATTTCTCTTATTTTCCTACTATCCCTGTATACCTTGAAAATACTTTTTAAACCCTTAATTTAACATTCTTAAGGATTTTCTTCCGGGAAGGCTCTTCAGCTATCTTATTTGACTCATTGCCCTAGTATTTCTTAAATGTTATATTTAATGTTTTTTATTTTATTTTATTTTATAGGATTCAGTTTAGCTGCATTTAAAAGAAACAAGAGGAAACTAGAGCTGGCAGAAAGGGTGGAAACAGATTTTATTCAACTAAAGAAAAGAAGACAATCAAGTGAAAAGGTCAGGAGATGTTTGAAATATTCAAATTAATGTATCATAATGATGTATCTTCTGCATTTAGATACAAGCTTTAGGACAGTACTATTCAGTAGAAATAGAGTGTTGCCACGTATATACTTTAAAGTTTTTCAGTAGCTACATTTAAAAAAAAAATATGTTCATAATATTAGGCTCATAAAAGAGAAAAAGAAAGTAGAAAAAAACAAAGGAAATTAGTTTCAATAATATATTTAAACCAGTGAATCTCAAATATAACTTTGAAATATGATCAGGGAAAACTTATGAATGAGCTATTTTACGTGATCTTTTTTAGTATTAAGTCTTCATAACCAGTTTAAATTTTCCACATCTCAGTTATAACACTTTATTAGAAATATTTGATCTGTATTTATATTTCATAAAAATTTACTGTGAAATAGTAAATTTACATTCCAAGTTATTACAGGTATACTTAAATCTTTCTAGTAGTTTAATATATTATAAATTAATTAAAATTTTATAAAATTAAAAATTCAGCTTTCCATTTGTCCTTGCCTCGTTTTAATTTCTGAATAGCTGCATTTGGCTCGTGGCTACTGTTTTGGTTCTTACAGCTCTATATAGTGATTCTTAACATGACTGTTTAGGGAGTAGAGTATAAGAAAATATACATATTGTATTCAGATGTTTTTAGGGATAGAAAGAAGTTGAAAACTACAGCATTCTTGCCTGTGGCTTAGGGGTTCCTTAACACACAACTCATGATGGGTGTCCCAGGTCACATAGTCATTTGATGTACCTTAGCATTCATCAATATTCCTTATTGTTTAGTTCTTCTGTAATGGCTTACATACTGTTTTGTCCTTTGTGTCATACTTTTATATGGTTTACTTATGTATAAATGCATAATTCATCATCTTTTGTAGTAATAGATATTTTCTTGCTGTGTTGCCACAAGACACTCAGTTTGGTGCAAACCTTTTTAATTTTTTGCCTGCGAAGAGTAAGAATTTACAAGGCAGATGAACAAATTAATAAGTAGATCTTGATATGGTGAATAGTCTATTTCTTGGGTTTCTACATCGGATGTGATGTGCGAGTGAATGAATTTAGGACTTTTTTGCCTTTTTAAAAATTCATGATAGGCTGGGTCCAGTAGCTCATGCCTGCAATCCCAGTACTTTAGGAGGCTGAGGTGGGTGGATTACTAGAGCCCAGGAGTTGAGACCATCATGGGCAACAAGGAAAACCCCATCTGTACAAAAATTTAGCTGGATGTGGGTGCATGTCTGTACTCCCAGCTACTCAGGAGGCTGAGGTGGGAGAATCACCTGAGTCTGGGGAGTCAAGGCTGCAGTGAGCCATGATCGTGTTACCGTGCTCTAGCCTGGGTGATGGAGTAAGACCCTGTCTCCAAAAAAAAAAAAAAATTGTAATAAAATTTGCATAGTGTAAATGATTTAATCGGTTTTATAAACATATATGCCCATGTAAACCATACACCTATCAAGTTATAGAATATTTCCAGTTCTTTTGTGCTTGTTTGCAGTTTGTCTCCAACTTATAGGCAGCCACTGTTCTGATTTTTATTACAATAAATGCTTTTTCTTGCTCTGAACGTTATATAAATGGAATCATACAGAATGTACTCTTTTCTGTTTGGCTTGTTTCACAAAAAACTTTTATTAGACTTTGTATTACTGATTTATTCTTTTTTATTACTGAGTAATATTTCCTAATATAAATGCACATTAATTTGTTTATCTGTTTTCCTGTTGATGAACATTTGATTTTTTTTCCAGTTTTTTACTATTACGAATGAAGCTGCTGTGAAATTCTCATACCATTCTTTTTGTGGAGATCAGGTTAGGATTTTTATGTATAGAAATTTCACTGCATCTCATAGAGAATATTTTCAGCTGGAATTATTCAAGTAGTTCATTTTTCCATTCAGGAAATGGTACTGAACTGGATAGTAAGAAAATAATGGTGAACAAGATGGAGGAAGCTCATGTTCTAATGAGACCTTACCTTTTAGCAGAAGGAGACATATTAGCATATAAATAGGATGATCAATGGAGACGCTTATGAGGAGATAACATTTGAGGTGACGTCTGAAAAATGAGTGGCTTTTATGAAGAGTCAGTGGAAGAGTGTTCCAGGCAGAATGAGCTGCATGTGCAGAGGCCCTGTGGGAGTTTTAGCATATTAGAGGAATGGAGAGGAGAGTCAGTGTGCCCAAAGCAGTGAGCAAAGGGAGAATGGTATGGGATGAAGCTGGGGAAGTAGGTATGGGCTAGCTCCTTTAGGACCTGGTAGATCATGGCAAGGAGTTTGAATTTTATTCAAGAATAGTGGCTAGCCATTGAAGAGTTTAAAGTAGGGAAACAGTGCTGTCTCATTCACATTTTGCAAAGTTCTTCCTGGGCTACTATGTGAAGAATCAGTCCAGGGGAGAGGTAAGAATAGAAGTTGGGAGACTAGTTACAAAGTCATTACAGTTTGGAGATTATGGCACGTTGGACTGTAGGTGATAGGGATGGAGATAACGATAAGTGAATATATCCAGAAAATATTTTGAAGGTTTCTAGAAAGACAATATTGATGCCTTAGTTACTGGTAAGAAAGAGAGAGGAATTAAGGGTTTTAGCTGAGCAGAGGATTTAAGGATTTTAGCTTAGCAGTTGGATATTTGCCATTTACTAAAAGAGTAGAGCTGGGGAAATACGGCTTTCTGGTGGTAGAAGTAGGCAGTGGAAATCAGTAACTTTTTAAACCCATCTCCAACTTAATGGGCTCAGATTGACCAGTGCTTTCCGTTTTCACCATAAAACCTATTACTTGATGCCAATAGCACCTTAAATATCCAGAGCTAATACAATACATTTTGGTGTATCATCCGCCTCTGTTCCTTTCATTTGAATTATATGCCACCAAGATCCTCATTCTGCTTGCTGTTTTAATCGTTGTTATTACATAATTCATTGTCTCACGTAAACTGATGAGTAGTGAGTTTAAAAAGAGAGTTTGTTGGAAAACTAAGATAATTGTCTGAAAACTAACTTGGAAAAGCAGAGTTGTTTTATGAAAAATCGCTGTAGAATTAAATATGGGCATGCCTGTTATAAAAGATTGAGAACAATAATAAAAATATAGAAGCATTCTGTACTTAGAATGCTTTGTTGGTGTCTTTATGTTCTTGTTCTATTTAAAATAAAATGACACTTGAAATCATGGGACAATTCATTGTGTTATAGTTGATGCAAGAAAGATGATATGGAGTATTTATTTGTGGACCCACATTCAAAGAAAAGGCTTTGGTCCTGTATGAAGAGATTGACAAATAGAATGACCCTTTGTGTTTTAAATAAAAAGAATATGTGTAAGATATACATCTTTTTCTTCTTTTGAATGAGTCTCTGCTTCAGACTGAGAATTTTCAACTTTTAAAAATTTTAACCAAACTTTTATCATACTGGATAAGGGGATTTCTGATAAGCTTCCTGTGGCAGGCAGAAACATTAACTCTGGAGTTGGTTATCTGGGCACCTCCATGCACATGGGTGGAAGCTCCTGTTTTATGGTCAGGTTGGGAGAGAGATACCCATTTGAAATCATTGGCATCAAAAGGAATATCAACCAATGTCACTAGATGAGATCACTAAAGAGTGAGAATAGACAGTGGTCTGAAAACTGAACCTTGGGCCAGTTTAATATGTCAAGGCTGGGAGGAGGAGGAACCAGCAAAGGAGAAAGAAGGAGCAGCTAACGAGGCAGAGGCACAACCAGGAAGAGTGTCTAGGAAGCCAAGAGAGAAACATTTCGAAGAAAGTCATCACCTGGTCAAATGCTGCTGAGAAGACAGCTAAGAGCACAGATGACTGGACATTGGATTTGGCACCTGGAGACCGTTCATCGGAATAGGGACAGTTTCTGTGACATAGTTGATTATAGACTGGTATGGAATGGGATGATTATGGAGAACAAGGATGGAAATAACTATTGAGAATTTTTGCCATGGAGTGATAAGAGAGAGATATGTGGGGTAAGAGATTCTACCATTGCCAGTTAATTTTGTGAATTAACTGTCAGTTGGTTAGTTCTGTGAATCCAGTAAGTAATTTAACATTTGAAGCCTCAGTTTTTTGTTTGTAAATGAAAATAGTGATATCCTGTTCCCTTAACAGGACTGTTATAAGGGACAGAAGTGATAATAGATGTTCAAGTGCTTTGTGATTATCATTGAGTGAGTCATAGACACCATAGTTTTTCCCATTGAGACTTTCATCTTTAAAGTCACTCAGCAAGAAACCTGCACATGCGTTGGTTACCCTGGGTAGAATCTTGCAGTAGAAAAAGGGAGGATGGTGAGAGAGGTAAGTTATGGGGAGAGATGTAAGTTGTGGTGAGTGGAGAGATTGGAAGTTTATTAATATTTTAGGGATATGACAGGAAGGGACAAATCACTGTTTTCTAAATTGACTTATGTTCATTTGTTTCTCCCTGTCCTGTGTGTATAGTTTTAGTGTAATATTGGTTAGCAAGCATGTGGACTAAGGCTAACTACTATAGTTTGTTGTGGCTACATAAAAGCAGCTATGAGTTGGATATATAAATATAATAAAGGCTACATAAAAGCAGCTATGAGTTGGATATATAAATATAATAAA